GATAATTACAACTAAATTTGGGCGGGGGAAATATGCTACGGGGAGTAATAGACAACGACATCACAACTGTAGAGAAACATAAGAAATGTCCTAAAACAATTACCAGCAAAATAAGGAAATAGAAGAACAGGTATACACATAATACCGTTGCAGGCGTGCAACCCGATCCCATTTCATATGATACCGTTGCAGGCGTGCAAGCCGTTCCTATTTCTTATATTACCGTTGCAGGTGTGCAACCCGCTCCCATTTCACATATCACTGTTGCAGGCGTGCAACCCGCTCCCATTTCATCTATTACCATTGCAGGCGTGCAACCCGCTCCCATTTCATATATTACCGTTGCAGGCGTGTAACCCGCTCCCATTTCATATATTACCGTTGTAGACGTGCAACCCGTTCCCATTTCTTTTATCAACACCAATCAAAGAATCCCGGCAAGGGTACAATAATATTAAAACAAACATCCCGGCAAGGGAACGGTAAAGATAATAACTTTCCGGCAAGGGAACAATAATGATAACAATATACCGGCAAGGGAACAGTAATGATAATAACATCCCGGCAAGGGAACATTAATGATATTAATATCCCGGCAAGGGAACAGTAGTAAAAATCCTCATATGAAGCGTAATGAACCGTAACGGAGTCATAAAAATTACAATACAAGACTCACGGACATGCTTGACACCGACGTATAGATACTCGTCACCATGCCTATACGTCGTACTCCACAGTTAACACGTAGCAAATAAGACTCGACCCCTAATCCCTCAAGCTAAGGTTAGACCAAACACTTACCTCGAACTTCCACGGCCAACTCAAGCCTCAAACACCGCTTTTCCTTTTGAATTTGGCTCCAAATCAATTGTATCTAGACATAATCGACTTAATAACATCAATAAACGCTAAACAATCCAATTCCAATGCCTAATTATAGATTTCCTATCATTCTTCCCAAAAAGCCAAAAAAATCGACCCCGGGCCCGCTTGGTCAAAATACGAGGTTCGGACCAAAATCCGATCACCCATTCACCCACGAGCCCGAATATGTAATTAACTCCAAAATCCGACCCCAAAACGAGGTCTAAATACCAATTATACAAAAAGCCCTAACTCTACCCAAATCCCTAATTTTCTACCCTCAAGCACATGATTTAGGCCTAAAAATCTAATGGATGTTAATGGAAATTGAAGAAAATGAGTATAAGCTTACATACCTATGAATTTGTGGTAAAGTTCCCTTTCAAAAATCGCCCAATTTGGAGTTTGGAAGAAGAAGTTACGAAATTTTTGTTAAGTCCCGTTTTTGCTTCTGTTTTAAAATCACTGGACAGGCCTTCATCGCGTTCGCGATAGGCCTGTCGCGTTCGCGATGAGTTAGGCCTAGGTGACCTTCGCATTCGTGACCTTAGGCTCGCGTTCGCGGAGCTTTGACTCCTCGAGCCTTCGCGTTCGCGGATCATTTTTCTCAAATACGTTCCGATTCACATCATTTCCAGTCCGTTTCTTACCAAATTTTATAGACTCATCTTAAATCACATATAAGACCTGTACCGAGCTCCGGAACCGAAATACGGGCCCGATACCATCAAGTTTTAAACTCATTTCATTTCCAAAAACACACAAATATTTCAGAAAATAATTTTCTTTAAAAATTCATTTCTCGGGCGTGGGACCTCGGAATTTGGGCATACGCCCAAGTTCCATATTTTCCTACGGACCCTTCGGGACCATTAAATCATGGGTCCGGGTCCGTTTACCCAAAATGTTGACCGGAGTCAACTTAAATTCAATTTTAAGTCAAAATTCATCATTTTTCATAGATTTTCACATAATGGCTTTCCGGCTACGCGTCTGGACTGCGCACGCAAATTGAGGTGATGCTGAAAGAGGGTTTTAAGGCCTCGGAACGCAGAATTTATTTCTAAAATAAGTGATGACCTTTCGGGTCATCACATGGCCAATCTATTCCTCCTCCGATTCCCCGGGCTCCCCTACCCAAATTCCATACCCGTCCTCCACCTGCTCCTATTCTTGATAGTGATAATACTTTATTACAATTTACTGAGAGTCAATATTTGCATAATGTTGGAGGTGGTGAACAATTAAACTATGAATAATATGAATTCTCTTTATGGTAATCCAACTATTGATGAAAATGACGATGAAGAAATAGATTTTGATGAAACGCAATCGGACGACGATACACCCACTAGTCTTGTTGCTGAAGTTAACCCAACTAACAATAATCCAAATGATGCCTCGTCTGACCCTCCTGTTACTACACCTACTTTTTCTAGGCTACACCCTCAAGATAAAGTTAAATATCTTCGTATGAAAGCTTTGACCGAGGGGACAAGTGTACCTAGTCAGGCTAACCTTAGTGCCGGGTCAAATCAATTTCAACGGGGAACTAACACTGTTACCGGTGGTATTTTATATTATGATCCAAGAAAAGATTGGGAAGAATTGACAAAAATGGTTACTGTTATGTGCTTACCCTATAGTTTTCCTTCTAACCCGTACTTTGTGCATTATATTAGAAATTTTTTTAATCTTACTTATAAAGGATGGCATCGCACAACCGTAAAGAGCAAAATTTATAAATATAAACATGAATATGAACAATATTTGCGCTATTTATTTACTCATATAATTGTCGTGTTGCTATTACTACTGATATTGGTAAAAGTGGTAATGACTGTGATTATCTTACCGTTACCAGTCATTGGATTGATGAGGATTGGATAATGCAAAAGCGCATTATTGCTTATAGAAAACTAATTCACGTCACTCAGGGCAGTTTATTTCTAGCACGGTTATGGATGTTTGTAGATATTTTTGCATTAGTGATAAAATAATATCAACTTTAATGGATAATGCTACTAGTAACACTAATGTTGTAGCCTTGCTTACCACTATACTAAATCCTGCATTTAGTAATATTTTTTCATGTTAGATGTATTTGTCATATTTACCATATAATTGTGGGTGATGGCATGAGAATTTTAAATGTTGAAATTGAAAAGGTTAAAATGGCTTTTCACTGACTTTTTTTATTCAAACCGTAGAAGTAGACTTAGAGAATATTTTAAAAGATACGATGAATTTGGCCTAAGAGAAAGAAAGGTTCCTAAACCTTGTCCATCTAGATGGAATTACATGTATGAAAGCTTAGTTGTTGCATATGAATATAGAAACCCCATAAACTCAACGTTTAATGCTCATGTAAGTGATGATGATGAGCACCTTACAAATGCAGATTGGGCTAATGTTAAAATACTTGTAGATTTTTTAGAAAAATTTCATATTGCTACAAATAAATTTTCTGGGCAATATTATCCTACTATTTCTAACTGTTTAGTTTATATTGTAGAACTTGCAAATTTATTTGCTTATTTTTCAGAGGGTGGGGAAATTTATGGACAACCTATTGATTCTATGAGAAAAAAGTTTAAAAAATATGTGTTCCCTATTCCCCCTATTTATAGTGTTGTTGCCTTGTTAAATCTTACTATGAAATTAGGAGGTCCTCAATTTTAGTATGAAATTGTTTATAATGGTTTGACACTTGAAGATGAGGATTTGTCTACACTTCCGGAAGCACAAGCCTCAATTAAAATAAATGCTCAAACTATTTATAGTGCTTATCAAATTGCAATAGATCATGCTAGACCAAATGTTCCAACTCCTTCTTCTAGTTCTCAATCATCTAAAATAACTGGGAGTAAGAGCACTTACTGCTTGGGCCTGGTTCAGGGGTTCTCAAGGTTCTAGTACTAGTGATTGTTCACAACTAAATGAGCTTGAAGTTTATTTGTCCCAGGGAATTGAGGAAGTGAATCCCGACGACTTCTTTTATATTTTGGAATGGTGGAAGGACAAAGAAAAATACTTTCCAATTCTTTCAAGGATGGCCCGGGACTTTTTAGCCATTCAAGCTTCAACAGTGGCATCGGAGAGCGCTTTCAGTCAAGCAAGATTTCAACTCGGTGATTATAGAGCGTCTATGAGAGAGAGCTTGGAAAAATCAATACTTTCAGAGATTGGATCCGTTCGGAACGAAGAAATTTTGGACTTGCTGAATCACAACCAGAGGTAGACGAAGCTTACGAAGAAATGCTAGTTGTGGTTGCGGAGGATGCAACTTCACCCGGAAGCGGTGATGAACAAGCTTCTTTTCTGCCACCACTAACGGAAATTCCTCCAACCTTGAAGGATTTATGAAATTTGTGAGAGATATCATGTAAAATAATATGTAACTTGTATTTTGGCGCATCTTGATTAGTTTCTTTTTCTTTTTAATGGCGGTATTAGCACCTTCTTGTGCTCAATCCATAGGGGGAGGAAGACTAAGAAAGATATTGCTATGTTTTGTTAATGTTATAATAAAATTATAATGCATTGCTTTGAATATCTCTTTACAATATTTTTGTGTTTAAATTTGAATTCACAATTCTATAATATAATTTTTACAAGGAATTGCCTGAGATAAATTTTTTTTTTTAAAAAAAATAGAAAGTAATCGTTGGGCCCAGTTAGGCCACATAGGCCCGGGATCGACCCACTTTGTCCGGGATCATTAGTTCGTGGTCCCGGTTCCGGGCTGGTTCTTAAAAAAAGTCCACGAAACCCAGAACCACTTACGATCGGCCCACAAATTCCGGGCCCACTTAGAACCGGCCCACAAAGCCCATTTAAGACCGGACTCGGCCCACATTACAGCCATATTGTGTTTATTCCTAGATCTCTCACACACAAAATGAATTGACTAAAGAGGAATTAATTCAAGGTTCAGAATGCTTAACAGAATATCAGAATGACGGAAATTAAAAATTTTCTTAAAAGTGCCCCTATAGACACATCACACAACGATTACATGCAATAATGCAAAAGGACAGGTGTCATTCCCTTGAGAGAAATGAGAAGGGTGCTTTTAACCCCCAAAGTCTCTACTAAATCAATTTCAGTCCCTCCATTTATTTAACGTTCCTCTATGATCCAACATATAATTTGGAGTACCCACACTGAACCAGAATCCATAGCTCACGAGTCACGAAGCTACTGTTCCCTCTACCAACTCCGTCTCCCAACCGTGCTGTTCCACCGACGCCGCCGTTTGTCATCAAAAAAGGTTAGTTCTACTCCGTTCCTTCTAATAGCGACCATGATTCTTTTTTTTTTCTTGTGCATTTTTTCTTTGTTCCGAATCTTTCACATTTTTTCCTTTACTTGCTATTTTCGATCATGCAATCATATAGCCCTAATTTCCTCTATTTTTGCTCACTGCTCCACACTCTTTAGAAGCCTAAAGCAAAGGTGAAGTCTCATTGTCTTTTGTCACCATTCTAAAATTGTTTCAGAAACCCTTAAACCCTGCAAATTTTACCCTAGCCCCATGTAGATATGGACCAAAATATGTTATTTTTTTCATCTTATTATTTTTTCTTTCTTGATTTACCTTTTTGCAACTTTTATTGTCTTCGTGAAATGACTTTACTTTTTGCATTCATCTTTGTTTGACTCTCAGAAAATGCTCGTAATTTTGAGAGCTGATTAAAATAGGGGACATTTGATAAATTCAAAGTTGGGTTGATTTTCACCTGTTGCCCAAATGCCTAGGCAGAAGGATGGATATATGTGTTATTAGTCTCGGGGTTAGGTTTTATCTACTAAACACTATATACAGTCAAACCTCTCTGTAGTAGCATCATTTGTTCCGATATTTTTTGGCTTTTACGGTGAATGATTCTTATACACCTATAACAACATTTGACATTTAAATATATCTTGGCTGTTATAGACAGTAATTATCCAGAAATTATTTTTTTCTTTTTTAATATTACATATAAAAGAGTTAAAAAATATTTAACATTAAAATCTCAAAAGATATGAATATTTCACGAATTAAACGCTAAAGAAATTTAATACATTAAAACTTCACAACTAATGTACATAAACTCTAAGGCACACAATTAAATCTTTCAACGTTGATGGAAGAACTCCATAATTGTAGCTTGTTTCGTAGATTCCAGTCTCTTACTAGCGGTATAACGCTTGAATCGGCAAACATTTGCGTCCAAACTTTCAGCAAAAGGACTTCAAATAAATAGAATGATGTGCATATCTTCAAAAAGTATAAATAGATCTTTTAAATATCTTTTGGCATTTTTTTAATGCAAAATATATCATTGGTAGATCTTCAAAATAAAAAAACATATGATGTGCATATATTCATGGAACGTATTGCCATTCTTAAGATATTATATTTTTATTATAGGTTGTATATTAAAGTTATAAAAATATTTAGAATTATTATTATTAATAATCTTAGAAAATCTATATGGTTGTTATAGAGGGGTAATTTTACAAAGAGCGTACTGTCATAAAGATGGTTGTTGCTGCTATAGGCAGAAAGCTCTTACAGAGGTAAAATATAACATAAAAAATCGGTTCTGAGAAAAACTTGGTTGTTATAGTGAATGGTTGTTATATAGGGATGCTGTTATAGAGAGGTCTGACGGTATATAATTAGACTGGTTCAAAGGTTTGCCACCCTCTTTTCTTTCGTTACCAACTCATTGTGAGCATAGACACTTAGCTGCAGTTGGCTTCTAAAATTGACTTAATTCTTCGAAATATTCTTTCATTGTCTGTGGGAAACTCCATTTCACCACTAATACTTCCAATTGGTCGGTGTAGCTGATAAGGAGTTGCTCAGTTACTGATATTCACTAATCATTATAATCTTTTTTTAAAAGTTTCAAATTGGTGAAAACACTCTTATTAGAGATGGAGGGTTTGTAATATCTCATAAATGACGTTGTTGCAATAGCTTGATTGCTGTGTTCTTGTATGAGCTGATACAATGTGTAGTCTTCTATGTTTTCCTATAGTGATTCAAGCTAATCTCTGCAATTTATTTGACTGAAAAATGGCTGATCCTGCTAGTTAAGAACCCAATTTCCGAGCCCCACTTGTGGGATTTCAGTAGGTGGTTGTTGTTGTTGTTTTGCTAGTTAAGAACCCAGCGCGCAAATCGTTAGTATTTTAATGTGCCGCTTTGTCTCTTACGGTTCCCTATCCAGTACCTCTTACAAATCTGTTCCTGATGGATAAAGTTCAGTAAATGTGCATTGCATTTCTTATGGTTGTGGTATATGTATTTCCGGACATGTTCTTGAACTTTCATACTAGCATTGCTGGGATGCAAGGGTATTTTTTTAATGCCCCATGTTTCCCTTGTTTTGTTGCCCAATGTGTTTTGATTTGTGACAGGTAATTTGAAAATGTATTTGAAATCTCGGTTGTCATGGAACGTGATAATCCCTGCTGAGAACCTTGATATTGAAGGTTTAATGCTTCAGAAGGCAATTGTTGTTCGGCTCTTGGAAGACTTTGCCTCCAAGAAAGCCACAAAAAATCTCGGTTACTTTATAGCTGTCACTACAATGGAGAAGATTGGGGAAGGGAAAGTTCGACAACACACTGGAGATGTGCTCTTCCCTGTGGACTTCAGTTGCATTACCTTCAACATATTCCGTGGAGAAATCTTGGAAGGGGTTGTCCACAAGATCTTGAAGCACGGTGTCTTTTTAAGATGTGGTCCCACCGACAAGATATACCTCTCTCATCAAAAGATGTCGGATTATAAGTATGTGCCTGGAGAAAATCCCATCTTTATGAATGAGAAGATGTCAAGAATTGAGAGAGACACTGTGGTGCGTTTCATCGTGGTTGGGGCAAGGTACGTGGAGGCGGAGAAGGAATTCCAAGCAGTTGTGAGCTTGGAAGGTGATTACCTTGGACCCATCTCACAAAGTTCTGTTTAGATTTAGGTTACTTGCCATGATTGGCTCATTTTGGACATAGACCAATGACATGTAAAGCTAACTTCTGTAGCTATGTATGTGTGTGATACTGTTTTGGGTTGAATCAGACTATCTGTTGATGTTTGCTGATGACCCTCTCTGAAGTGTCTTATTTTCTCATTTAGTTTAAGCCCTCAACTGATTTTATGTAAATGTTTGAAGGCATGGGATGTCTTCCCCAGATTCTTTTACTCTATGGTTATGGTGATAAACCTTTTTATACCTGAAATACCCTTCCAAAATGTCTAATTCTCGTTACTGACTTCTTTAAAAATAGCTATAGTGCTAGTCTTCCCAGATTCTTATACTCCACGGGCCGGTGACAAACCTTTAATCCTACCTCACAATTCACTCTCTGAAAACAGTCTCATGTTTTAATGTCTTTTCAGCCAGGGACTAAGATTCTCGCACTTGAACAAAGCTGAGGTTTAACTTTCAGAAAAACTATAGCCAAGGGCAAGGTCAATGAAGTATGTGAAAACTTTAAAGACCATTCAAAAGCCAAGCAAAGACAATAAATGCTAAGTTGTCTCATCTTATTGAGCTCTCGTGGTTTATTTGGTACATGTGTTGGTGATGGGTAGAATAATCAAGGTGTCCGCTACCTAACTCGAACGCCAATGTTGTCAAAACGGAAAAAGGACTTTCATGAGAGATCAGAACTAGAGTATTTAATCTTTTACTGCCTTCCATTCCACTATTCTGATCGAATTAATCGTTCTTACTAGGGATGGCAATGGGGCGGGCGGGGCGGGACGGGTTCAACTTAAACCCGCAATGACTCAACCTGCCCCCGCATAGTGAACTTTTTTGTTTTCAACCCGCCCTGCATAAATTTTTTAAATTTTTTTTATTTATCCTTTTTCATTTCTATTGATTAGTAACATATTTTAATGACCCGATTATCTATTTTTCACTTAACATGTATAAAAATTATGCTATTTATAAAACAGTTTTGGACTAAATTTTTTATGATATCTATAAAATTTTACTTATTGATTAATCTATAAGCTAAAACTTTTAAAATTTGACAACTAAACTTCATGATCTACAAAAAAAGAAAAGAAAAGGCAACGATATGATTTTCCAACAGAATATGGTTCAATATGTATTTGAAGATTGTGATTAAACAATGAATTAACTTACAGTGTTAGCCTAAAGGCCCAAAACTAGATAAAGGCAAGTAAAAATAGCACGGGCTAGGCAGTTTTCGGACTGGTAATTGAAAAATAGCCAGCGTTTGCGAAGTCGTTGAAAAATAACCATTATTTTGCTGCAACACGGAAAGTTCCAGCATAATATATAGGAGATTGGTGTACCTGTGTATGAACTTCCAGCATATTATGCTGGAACTCCAACACGCGGAAAGTTCCAGCATAATATACTGGAGATTGGAGCACCTGTGTATGAACTTCCAGCATATTATGCTAGACCGGTATATTATACTGGAACTCCAATATATTATGCTGGAAGTCAAGTATATTATGCTGGAAGTCAAGTATATTATACTGGAACTCCAATATAATATACTGGAGTTCCAGCATAATACACTTGAACTCCAGTATGATATACTGGAGTTCCGGTATAATATACGAGTTCCAATATATTATGCTGGAATATTTTTCCGGATTTTGAACAATGTTTTCGTATTTATCTTCCAGTATATTATATTGGAGTTCCAGTATGTTATGCTGGAATATTTTCCGAATTTTGAATAATGTTATCGTTTAGATTTATCTTTACATGAAAAGTGGCTAAATTTCGATTACTTTTGAAATTGTGGCTATTTTTCAATGACCACTTGTAAATCTGGCTATTTTTGAACTCCTCTCTAAAGCCAATGGAGGGTAAAAGAACCCACAACCCGTCTGATGTTTTATACTTCAATACCATACAAGAAGGGGGGGAGGGGGGGAAGGGAGGGGAGGGGAGGTGATTTGTGTGGTGTCCATTTTTTTTTTGCGTGCACAAATTATAGAAGGACCTGGTTCTTCTACGTGTTCCTTACACTACAATTGTGGAATAATAAATGCAGAAAGTAAAGAACACAAGTATTTTTACGTGGAAAACACCTGGCTCAAAAGGTGAACAAACCACGACCTACTGCCCAGGAGGACTTTCTCCAAACACTTCACTACAACTCTGAGCCAACAACAAAGTTTATAAACTCTTGCAAACCTAAGGATTAACTCTAACCCTTATAGCAACCAGCCACAAGCTGTTGCGACTGCTTCAAGTTAACTCTAACTTGAACAATACAACTCGAGTTTACAACCTCTTGCAAACCTAAGAATTAACTCTAACCCTTATAGCAACACGCCACAAGCTGTTGCGACTACTTCAAGTTAACTCTAACTTGAAAGATACAACTCGTGTACCTAGTACAATTTGCTTCTAAGAAATCTGAAAGGTACAACTCAAAGCGCCTACTACACTTTGAATTAGAAATAAAGAAAGGCACATAAAAATCTTTATGGAGCTGGTTCTTCAATCTGGTTCGTGTAGTTTCAGGATCGCATTCTTAAATCTCACAGGAATTGCTCACAAAATGCCTTGCTATTTTGCTCTCAATTCGTGCTTAACTTCAGTATGTGTGTATCACCTGTAAAAGAGAACACAACTGATATATATAGAGTTAGTAAATAAAGATTAACTAGAGTTCTAATGCTTTACTCTTCCTTGGTGGAAGAGTTCTAGTCAACTTCAACTTCTAACTCTTCCCTTATCTTGGATAGAGTTCACTTCAAGCAAGGAGTCCTGCTCCTTGTAAACTATGCAACATTTTCGTTCAGGGAATATCAGAAGAGTTCTCTTCAAGCAAGACACCCTTTCACGTGCAGGCCTTTTGATTGATTCTTTCCGTCACCTGTGAACACTGTTCATGGACCTGGTTCATGCATGTGTTTCTTTGTCAATCATCAAAACAAACTTACTCAGGCCAACACCGTCGCGCATTGAGTTTAATTTTTTATATTAAACCCCCCCATGTCCCGCAACCGCATAAGCTTCAACCCGCACCACGCGCATAGGTTTAAACCCCCCCTGCCATTCTTAACTAGATCTAGCTTGAGAAAGGTTATTAGGTTTGAGAGAAAATTTAAAGCAGTTCTTTGGATCAAGGCTTTGCTAGTTCAAGCGCCAATGGGAAAGGCAGCAAAAAGAAAAAACTATAACAGCTACGAGATCCTCGCTATAGAAATATCATCCAGATTGCTGGAATGTGCTTCTATCAAAATAGTGAAAACGCATTATCCCTCAGAGAAAAACTCCATCTTGATCTACAATTTAAAAAGACTTAGAAATGTGGCAAACACTATTAAACTTTACAACCTTAACTCTTTCTTTTTCCTCTTTGCTCTCTCAAATTTGACCCTAGACCTGACACAAGGCTTTAAATGCACATTGAACTTCACAAAAAAATAAATAATAATAATAATAATAATAATAGTTAAAAAAAAAAATATTGGAACAGTGACCGGAAAAAGCCTGAAATATACCATTTGTGCACTTTGCTCCCGGCAAGCTGAAACAGCTAAAAATCCTCCAAACAAAAAAAAAAATGCCTCTTTGACATTATGACGTTTAGATTTAGAATACTTATAGTTAAATTTTTGTTCTAGTCATATTTCTCTAAGAACTATCTGCTTGAATTAGATTTTGAAAGAATTGATTTTGTGTATGTTAGAAGATTATTTTTGTGTCTTAACCAAAAAAAGGAAAGAAAAAATGAAACATCTATTTTTTAAACTACAGAAAGACTCATACCAAAGATAACCTAACATTCTTTCAGATTACTACTCTCTGAATAAGGAGATCTGCTGATCAAGCACACCTTTAAAAAAGAAAATCGAAGTTGAACTTGCTAAAAATGGAAGCATGATGGACCCTTTTACTGGCATGGTCTTTTTGAATTACGGTCAAACCTCTTTATAACAATCTCGTTTGTTCCGATATGTTTTTTTGCTGCTATAATGAAGTGTTGTTATAAACAGAGGCGGACTTATGCAATAGGTAAAGTATGGCGACCCGAAAGGTCATCTTGTGTTTTAGAACCCAATTCAGGGTTCCGAGGCCTTCAAAACCTCATTTTATATTTTCTCGATTTGCGTGCGCAGTCCGAGCGCGTTTCCGGAAAGCCTTTATGTGTAAATTTGAGAAAATAATAATTTTTGCCTTTAAAAGTTGAATTTAGTTGACTTCGGTCAACATTTTGGGTGAACGAACCCGGATATGTGTTTTGACGGTCCCGGAGGATCCGTAATAAAATATGGACCTGGGCGTATGCCCGGAATCGGATTCGGAGGTCCCTAGCCCGAGCAATGAATTTTTGTTAAGAATTTTTAAACTGAAAATCTAAGGATTTAATGAAATCGATTAATGTTTGATCTCGTTGGTATCGGGTCCGTATTTTGGTTCCGGAACCGATGCAGGTCCGCTATGATATTTATATCTTATCTGTGAAGCTTGGTGAGAAACGGGACTGATTTGACGTGATTCGGACCTTTGGTTGAGAAAATAGAAGTTTTGAAACTTTCTTGAAAGTTTCATGCAATTTGGTGCTAAGTTCGTAGTTCTAGGTATTATTTTGGAGGTCTGATCGCGCGAGCAAGTTCGTATGATGTTTTAAGACTTGTGTGCATGTTTGGTTTGGAGCCCCGAGGGTTAGGGTGAGTTTCGGATAGGCTACGGAGTGATTTGGACTTAAGAAAATTGTTGGTATGTTTTAGGTCTGGAGACTTCGCAATTGCGAGGTCTGGCTCGCAAATGCGAGTCACGCATTTGCAAAAAATGATCGCATTTGCGAAGCAGGGGAGGGGACTGGGGAGTTCGCATTTGCGAAGAATGGCCGCATTTGCGGAAGTCCTTGTTCGCATTTGCGAAGGCAGCAGAAATGCGAGAGGGGTTCGCATTTGCGAGTGTGAAGCTCAGGTTGCAAATGCGACATCTGCAGTTGATAAGTTTGGACTTAGACGGGATTTTTCATTCATTATCCCATTTTTCAAAACCTAAACTTCAAGAGGCGATTTTCCAAAGGCTAATTTTCCCCAAATCATAGGTAAATGATTCTTAACTCATTTCTTTCAATCTATTATATCTTTTTACAAGATTTCATCCTAGAATCTAGGGTTTTTCATTGTGGAATTGGGTGTTTTTGGGTAGAACTTAGGAATTTCGAAATTTGGGGATTTAGACCTCAAATTGAGGTCGGATTCCAAAACCAA